GAATAATACACTGTATAATCACCACTTCTTTGGATATGATAACGTGAGAAAATTTCTAACACCCAATTGTGGAGTCCATAGTCCATCACTTACTACCTGAGCTCTTATAGCTCCAAAATTTAATGTAACCCCATGATTCAGGGTCTCCTTGAGTAGCAGACAGCCATTCATTTGATCAAGAGGTTCCATGTTATTGTTGAACCTGAATGTTAGTCAGCACCATTTTAGGGCCATTGGGTCCTAGTGTAATCTGCTGTCAGAGACAGGGATGGTCCGTCACTCTTGTGGATCATGTGTTTCAGTGGTGCTGCAGTTGGATCAGTACCTCAGGTTACGTTGAATCTGGACCAAGAGGAGTATTTGTATGACAGCATTTTGTCCTTTGGAAAAGTTAGCGTGAAAGGAGGAAATCTTGTTGCAATTGAGGGAAGTGTGGCACCATTCTCTGTCCCTTACAGGTGAGAGTAATACTTCATAAACATTTTCTTGTTTGTAGCAGCATGACAGCGATAGAGATATGATTTGTGGGAAATGTGTGGAAAGCATTATAGCCCTGGTGTAGAAAAAGACAGTGAATATCCAAAATTTATATGCATAGCCCATTGGTTCATTAGTTATCATCAAATTGAATGCTAAGTATATATTTTGTATGGTCGCCATATTTTAATTTTACATTCTGCAAAAGAACTGAACTGTCAGAAGTTGTCCATTTGTTACCATTTATTGCAGTATTTATTTGCATAATTTATTCATCTCTTTACCCAGAAATTTGTGCATGACCTTGTGATGCTTAAAATAAGTGAATGCTGTGATTCAGAGTAAAATGTTACTCTTATATTAAGGTTAGAAAATTACAGCTGTAGTTGTCTGAGACACTGCTCTACAAGCCAGAATGTCACAGGTTCAATTCCTAATGAGCTCATTGCATTTTTCAATTGACCTAATCCTTCCAGCTGCACTATGGCCCTGGGGTCGACTCAGCCTCTAACAGAAGTGAGTACCAGGAATCTTCCTTGGGGGTAAAGGGCTGACAGCGTGTAAGGCTGACAATCTTACCACCGTCTTACTTTATTATGGTATGAATCTGGCTGCACCATAGCTCAAGCGGTTAGTTGCTGGCTTCCCACCGTGGCGGCCCAGGTATGATCCTGGGTCTGGTCAAGTGGGATTTGTGGTGGACGAAGTGGCGCTGCGGCAGGTTTTCTCGAAGTACTTCGCTTTCTGCTGCCAATTTTCATTCCACCAATTGCTCCACAATCACCATCACCTATCATCTGGGGCTGGTACAATAGGCCAGAAGTGGCCACAGTACAAGGGACTTAGTCCCACCCCACTAGCAATAAAAAAAATGGTATGAATTTAACAAGGAAGAACTCTGATGAGAATCAGTCACTTATTTTTATACTCATTTAACTAGAAATCAGCAGCTAAAATACAGTATTTAATTTTCTTTATGAAATTTCTTGTCTAAAAATAGAGATGCATGATATACACAAATAAATATAGTAGCGCTCAAATAACAGAACTTTCCATTAACTGGTGCTATTGCTGCCATCTTAGAAGAACACAAGGCCTCCATATTGGTATTATTTATGGCAGGAAATTAAAAGTACAATATTGGGATGGTCTCCATGGGATGAAAAACTGTCAGCTGATTAAAAAGTTATTAAAAGTTGAAGACACAGAAACCTGAAGGGAATGAGGAAAGTGGGGTAAAAATATTATCCAGGTAAAAGTACTGTTCAGCCTGAGGCTCGTGCAGTTTTGACCGTGAAGAGTATATTTTCTGTGATGTGATGCCATTCAGTCTGACAGAAGTTCACTGATAAACTACCAGACTGCATGACCTCAATTAAGTGCAAAGTATGAAAATTTGTGATAAAATGTAACTAATCTTACCTCAGACAGGAAACAGGCATCAGAAGTTGCAAAAATGTTAAATTATTCATTATTTTCCACAGGGGAAAAATCCATTTAAATCAGGGTTGTCCAAGATGGCCAAAAAAGTACATAATTTACTATCCTAGGCTTATCACTATGTCACATGTTGACTAAGGTCCACAACTTTATTTAAAACTATTATGGAAAGCACTGCACACTATACGTAGCCATTTTTACTAGCCCTGTGAAATACCCGCTCCCCATGACCAGGGAGCGCTTGTCTCGCTGTGCAGATGCAACCTTTTACATTTCTTAAGCTAGAGGATAGAAGAATGCAGTCATTGAAATGAATGATGCTTCATTATGTTCCCAATAGATGACTATGCACCTGCCAAGTTTGAATGACATTGCGCAAAGCAACCTGAGTTTTAAACTCTAAATTTGCAATATGGGTTTTGTCAATAACAGCAAGGACGCCATGTTTTTCAGAGATCGACATATGTTGATCGCAGCAGTGTAAGGGTTAAATTATTTATAAAAGATTTATTCAAAAATTATTTTCAGCACAGAGGGTACTGAGAGTTACTTAACCTTTAAGAGCCTAGCGACACCGTATGGAGACCTTTAAAGTATAGCCGAGTGGCCGTGTGACACCGTATGGGTACGCATAGTCCACATGTGCGCACGGTGTATTAAAATCTAATTTTAAGATAGAAATTCTTATTCTACTTACATTAATTTTGGGCACCTGCTTTATAAGTAGACAGTCTTCCCTCCTGCGTCATCTAACTGAATGCAGTCCGACGTCCAATTCATGCACTTTGTCCAGATGTAACTCCATTTCCCACGCGAAGAGCACACACGACACCTCAGTCTTGTATTAGAGGAAGTCGGCCAGTGATGTCGAGTGGCCTCAAATCGTAACGCTTATAAAACATCACAATTTCAACTATCCACCATGGCCTCATTTCGCATGGAAGAAGCCGAAATTGAGAGGCTGCTGATAAATGATACCGATTCAGAATGCGGTACAGACGACTCTGAAAGTGGCGAGGAAGCAAGGGGGATATGCGGGGGTATTCCAAGAACAGTACCTCTGTGTGGCTAGTCCGAAATATACACAGTCAGAGTTTCTGAAGGACAGAGTACGATAAGACTTCGCCCACACTCATGCATACAGAAAGGTTCTGACATGACTGGAGAATGTGCAGTACAAACATAAACTTCCTCCCCTTTTGCCAGATAAGACATAGTAAGGCAGGATGTCAGCAGCATGCATTTATACTGCAGAAACTGTATGCATATTTGTGGACAGACGCTCGAAATTGGGAAATTTTTTTTTTGGAATCAGTGTAACAATTTTTACAGATTTTAAAATCTGTAAATTACAATATCTGATTCTATATTCTTTCTAGATAAAAGCAGCATTTATTTCGTTCATTTATCACAAAAATTGTAGAAATCACAGCATTTTCAGTAACATGCTTACAATTTTTAATACTCTACAGTGGCGGACATTTAAATTAACTCTGGCCTACTGCCATTACGGGAATTTAAATGGCCCATCTCTTAAAGGTTAACATACTAGCAGTGAAAGGGTTAATATACAGTTTCGATTAATTTTATGTTATGAATGTTCTGATAAAAAAGTATCATGTAACTATATGTTAAGACCTCTGACAAAGGTAAAACTTTATAATAGTGAAATGTACTGTAGTTCAGAACACATGTTAAACTGTAGGTCCCCTTGAATGTCCATTGTCATCATCCTACCATGGAGCAATTACAGTCCACCTCATTAAAATATCCTTTAGTCAGTCCATCTGTTATGGGTCTTCTAACATTTCTTCTTCCCCATATACTGTAAACTGTCTTAGAGAGACACTTATGATATTAAATGATCAAGGGCACAGAGATGTTGGAGAGAAATAAGCCATCATTAATAGAATGTAGGGGATTAATATCCATAATGTGTATATATTTACCGTCTTTTAGTGCATACAATTTCACTTGTCACTTCACACTACATGTTCAGGCATCATTCTGCCATCCTCAGGTGTATCATTCACATTAAACCATTGCACTGCCTGCCATCAAGTGTCCATTTATAAAATGATATAAAATATGTGTTCGTCGTTGTTCAATAATAAAATTTATATATTAAAACTGGTTAAGATCTATCATCTTACATGTCGTATATCAAACTCATGTGTAACACCATTCATCCGCTATGGGAGTCGTTCTTCTTATGTTTTAATTGCGTATATACTGTGTCTTATGGTGTGTCTTTCTTATGTGGCTGCGTGCATTGTATTGCTGGATGTATGTGTAAGACGGTAAATATATACACATTATGGATACGAATCAGTGCAACAGGACGCTAAAATACAACATTATGTAGGGGTTGGTAGTGTGGCTTCTTTTTGTCTTGTTCATTCTGTCGTGACCCAAGATGGTGGCGGGTCGACTGAATTATGTTGGCCGAGCGGTAGCGTAATAATTCAGTGATGGTGATGGTCAGTTGGCTGCTGGAGCGGGTATTCCAACCACAAAGAGCAAATACTCACTACAGATAATAGAGGATTTATTGATTCTTAGTGTATATTACATACAAGCGCTGGTGGACGTAAGCCTGGCCAGCCTTCCCATAGCCCCAACCCAGACAAAATGCACCCTTCAACTTTCCTCTTCTTCTTAAAACCTATCTAAAACTAAACTTGCAGACCAATGTCCCGAGACATGAACCCTCATGCAGATCAGATTACACCAGTTGCTGTTGAAGGATAGGTCCCAGACGAAACACTCCAGGACCCCACTAATTTATGGAATGGCAGGGGTAGATATAACATTTTTCTCTGAGGAAGCAGGTCAACCTCTTGACGTGCTGTAAATTTAGTAGAGGGCATGACCCCAGACATCAGACTCAAGTTCCTAAAATTAAAAAATTTAAAAAGGGTTGCGAACCCCGCAACAATTCAGTAGTGAAGCAGCCAATGTTCTTTGTGCATATGCATTTTTGACATGGCGAAAAAACTGGACATGTTGAGAAGCCCTATATACATTCTTTGAACATATGTTTGAATTATGAACTAAGTTTTATTCATAATCTGTTCACTATTTAACGCACCATTTTTGGTGTAACCAATGTTGCCTGTACTTTGCTTTTCATTCATATGCTGTAAAATATAATGACCACTTCCAAATTAATGTTAATATAGATGAAGCAATAGAACAAAGTACGAGAAGTATCATAAGCTTGCCACTCTTCATGAAATCAGAAAGGCAGGCCGAAAATCTGTTTTATACAGCAGCTAGTATAGTAGAACACAGAATTACTGGGTTTTTGGACTTTTTCCATCATCTGGAATTCTAGGTAATGGAGGACAGGATGTTTCAGAAACTGGATCTGTTTCCATCTTCAGGTGAGAAAGGAAGACACCTACTCAGTTGGGCCCCTTAGAAAGAGCTAATTTCAGTCACTGGATTGAGTGGTTGGGATTACGTCTTTCTAAGGGGCCCAACTGAGTAGGTGTCTTCCTTTCTCACCTGAAGATGGAAACAGATCCAGTTTCCAAAATGTCCTGTCCTCTATTACCTAGAATTCTGGATGATGGAAAAAATCCAAAAACCCAGTACTGTGTGTCATCCACCACCGTCAGAACCCTTTAGAATCTATCAGCTAGTGTAGTAAATAGGTGGTAGAATGAGTTGACTTACAGATGGTGGTCTTAGTGGGATAATGGGAAAAGATTTGGTAAAGATGAAAAATGGAAATACACATTAGTTTGTATGCTTTAGAGTTGAGGAGTACCAGGATGCGAATGAAGACCACGTGTGCCTCTACAAACCTCTCTCAAATCACTCAACACCTCAACAGCAAATTGTTCGATTTAACTTTGCTCCACGTCTGGAGGGATTTAGTGAAGTACAACAGCCACAGGTGGAAACATCAGCCGCAGCAGGATCTGCACTTGTGAGTGTGAGCTTTGTGCCCATCATATGGCAGTCAGAAGAACAATAAAAATCTGATTTGAAGTATGAATGTCCATTCCTTTCCATACTTTGCATAGAAGCACTGGCACTTATGGTCTGACTTTGGTGTATGGGAGCAGTGAAAGGAACATGTTTTACCATCTGTAAGGAATTAAAACTAACCATTTATGGTTTTGAAACATTAGACATTAAAACTTTACCACAGAAATAGTCTGACAGGAGAGAATTCCATAAATAGGGAACAGCTCTGTGTTTTAAATACCAGTCTGACTCAAGATATGACCATGCTACTTGTTTTTGCTCTGCTGTTGATTAATTCAGATAAAAAATTTAAGCTGTTTTTTTGATGGTCTGCAATTATGAATTTTGTATATCAAGATGTGAATTAACACATTGCCATTTTTCATATATAGGCATGTCACTTTTTAATTTGAGAGATTTTCACACAACTGAATAAAATTGTATGAAGAAACTACAAGATATATACAGGATGATTCACGAAGTTTTACCCTGGCTTATGGTACATATTCCTGGGGTTATTTCCTGCTAAATTTCCTTATAAACTTGTGGTCGATTTTCAATAGTTACGGAGTAACAATAGATTTTCGAAACGCATCATTGTGAATGCAGCACTATGCTTCAGCGTGGACGACCATACGTTCCAGTCAGCTATGTCAGCAGATAAGGTAGACAGGTTTTAATGTTGTGTGTAGGTAGATAGGCAGAGTGGTTCATACGCGTTCAACGCATTGTGTTGACATGCAGGGTGACATTTTTGAAAATCTTATGTAAATCCAGTCGTCTTCTAAAGCACTACAGTTTAAAGGAAACAGATTGATAGAAGGGTGTGATATGCAACCATTGGTATGTTTACAGAATGGGATGCTGAAAATAATGTAATTTTGTAACACAAAATCGATGAAAAATGTTGCACAATGCAAAATTAAGAAATTGAAAAAAAAATGGTTTTAGAATGCTTCTCTCCTAAAACATTAACCATTTAAAAAGTGTTTGTATTGAATTTCTAATTTGTTTTGACTGAAATTCGAAGAAAAAAAGATTTTTCGCCAGTTTTCAAATTACTGTATCTCTTTAATTATGAGTTGGATACCATTAGTATATTAACATTTTTTGTTCCAAATTACCTCAGGAATGCCCTCCCTAAGTGGGGGTAAAACTTCGTGAATCACCCTGTATATATATCCCCAGTAAAATGAGGTAGGCATGGTAATGCATTTTTATCTAGCCACTCATTTCATTATATTTGGGGTTGATCAGTGTGTGGTAACCATGGTGTAGGCTTCTTTAAAACTTTACATAGATTTGCATCATCTGTTATTTCTGAGTCTCCTTCATTAACAGTACTGTATTCTTCAGAACAGTCTCACTCATGGAGCTGAGCCCGTCTTGAAAAGCCGCCAATTGTGCAACTTCCCAGCATTTTATGAACCCTGAACCGTGTTCACAAGAGCCCTCCACCGGTCCCTGTCCGGAGCCAGATAGATCCAATCTCTCTAAGATCCATTTTAATATTGTCCACCCACCTACACCTTGGTCTTCCCAGTGGTCTCTTTCCTACCAATATCCTATATGCATTCCTCTTGTGCTACATGCCCTGCCCATCTCATCCTCCTTATCATTCTAATTATACTTGGAGAAGAATACAAGTTATGAAGCTCTTCATTATGCAGTTTTCTCCATACTCCTATAACTTCATCTCTCTTTGGTCCAAATATTCTCCTCAACACCCTGTTCTCAAACACCCTCAGTCTGTGTTCCTCCCTTAATGTCAGAGGCCAAGTTTCATGCCCATACAGAACCACAGGCAAAATTATAGTTTTGTATATTCTAATTTTTATGTTTTTGGACAGCAGACGAAAAGACAAAAGGTTCTGGACTGAATGGTAGCAAGCCTTACCCAAGTTCAGTCTCCTCTTAATTTCCTCCTGGATCAGGTTTTGATTTGTTATTAAAAACTCTGTGGCCTGTAGTCCGCAAGCAAACTATACCGACCAAGAAACCACCGCTTGTCAGCAAAGTTAATGCCAACTTTTGTGGATAGAGGGTGTTACATAATGAGCACAGCGGTTTCCCACAGCTGCTAATCTTCCTTTTGTAGACCAGATTTGATTACTTATTATCATTCCGAAATATCTGAACTGTATTAAATTTTCTTCTACATTTTCCTTCACAACGGTAAAATTATTTAAAAATCACTTTTGGCTTAATGGTCCTCCTGTTCCTCTGCCATTTCAACGGCTGGATGCTACAATCATGTAGATGTTCAGATATTTTTAAAGTTGCGTTTTATTTTTTTAACTTCTGGAACTTTTCACACTTGTGCCCTTTGGGATTGTGTAACTTCATGGAGCTGAGCTCTTTTGAGAAGCCGCCAATTATGGAGCAACTCAAGAACTTCCAAGCATATTATGGAACCTGAAGATTTATTACTGTGTTCACAAGAGCCCTCCACTGGTCTATCCTGAGCTAGATCAGTTCAGTCCATACCCCCCCCATCCTATCTCTAAGATCTATTTTAACATTATCCAGCCACTTATATCTTTATACTAGTAGTGGTGCCTTCTTGGCTTTCCCATCAGTATCCTATATGCATTCCTCTTCTCCCCTGTTCATGCTACATGCCCTGCCCATCTCATAATCCTTGACTTGGTGACTCTAATTATAACTTTGCAAAAGAGTTCAAGTTACAAAGTTCCTCATGATGTAAGTTTTCTCAGACTTCCTGTCATTTCATCTCTCTTCAGTACAAATATTCTCCTCAACATCCTGTTGTCAAACACCCTCACTGTATGTCAGAGACCAAGTTTAACAACAGTACATAACCACAGGAAAAATTATAATTGTATATTTTTTGGCAATGTATAGGTATACTAATTTGGATCTTGCTGCCTAATTGCATGCATTTTCAAATTTTATTTATATATCTTTATTCCATCTGCCACATGCTTACTTTGAAGTGCATCTCTTATTTTTTTCATTAGTATTCTGCCTCATAAGATTTCTCCTAGCAGTGATCAATGAAGTATATGTTCTGCTTTGTTCTTTCAGCACAGCATATAGTTTATCAGAAATTAAATGTGCTTGTATGTGTGAGCAAATCCAACATTCTTTTGAATCCATGGTGAAACAAGCACTAAACAAGAGTTGTTTACAATAAAATCAAATGCTTTTAATGTAATAATATTCACATCAGTATACCGTTTTATTCTTCACAACAATTTTGGTGAAATTGTTGTGATCATTATGTTCAGACAGCATAAGCCAACTTTGATACTGTGGGAGCATGTTGGTGTGTGTGGCAGTAGCTGCTGTTGGTGCTGATATAGTAATTTTTAGTTATATTCGAAAAACTACCTGTTAGAGTTTTAAGCCTGTGAGGCTGAGTTAATGGCCAGTAAATCTTTTAACAAAAATGAAGGTGGTAAAAAGAAATTAAATATAAACTAATCTGAAGATTATAGAACTAAATTTTCATGATGAAATGTGATTCATTTTGTCATATTTCTGCATGAAGTTTGTTTCTTTCTCGCAGAGTAAAGTATCTTCTGAAACTTTGGCATCTGCAAATGACAGCTTTATTGGTGACAGTCGACGTCCATCTCAAGTTCAGCAGTGGTTGCAGCAAATAATGGCAGAAACAGAGACAGAGCCATCCATAGGGGAACAGGAGAAGAACTTTGCTTCCTTAAGCCAGTCAGAACGTCTTCTTGACTGATTACTGTACAACCGCTTTTGAGTTCAGAGATGTGTCACAGGCAGACACTGTGAATAACAGTTTCCAGATTGTAGGATATTATGGATTTTAAACTTTGGCACTCATAATCAGCTTTACTAGATTACACTATAAATATGGATTATTCTGCTGAAAGTATTCATTTTTTTAACGGGTACCATAGAGGCTGATTTTAAGTGCATTTTGTGTTTATATTATTATGATACTTTGTTAGTTAGTGGTAATTTATTTATAATATAATATTTATTCCAGTTCTGTAGGTTATTCTAACTTTTGTATGAAGGCTGAATAAATGTAAGTACTTTACTTTACTTTAAAATGTTCAAGTTCATCTATTCTTCTGTGCTAATTACACTAAGCTCCATGTTGTCCAGCATGTATTGGGAAGGGAATGTTCTGGTTTCTTGTATAAAAATCAGAACAATATGTTTTAGCTTTAATTCTTATGCAGGGGTCTTCTTAGGCAACATAGCAGATTGATGGGTGAAAGATTTGAAATATACTGTAGCATGATCATAAATTCAGGTAGCCTTTGCTGTTATCACTGATCACTCACTATAATTGTAATGGCACCTGCATTATGGAGGACAATGGGCAGTGCTGCTGATGGTGGTTGGGACGACCACCATGTGATGAATGAGCATGCACATTGCGATTCTGTAATATAACTTTAAGTAAAAAAATAAAGGTATCCCTGTAACAGGTCTTGGAGGCCCATGGCGTTGTGAGATGTTGAGGTTACCACAGTTTCTAGGCAATCAGTTCATCGATGGTGGTAAGGTTGTCAGCTCTACACACCGGCCGCCCTTTGCCCCCAAGAATATTCCAAGAGTATTCCTGATACTCATTTCTGTTAGATGCTGTCTTGACCCCAGGGCCATAGTGCTGCTGGGAAGGATTAGATAAATTGAAAAAAATCCAATGACCTCATTGGGATTCAATCCTGTGACCATCCAGCTTGTAGCATAGTTCCCCAATCAACTACGCTACCATGTGCCCCCATATAAAAATGTAATTTTCCAAGTTTGCCATTTGCATGAGAATTATGGATGAGTCAATACAAGATTCCTGGGAGTTTATTGTAGTTGGAGCAGATTACTTCTTTAGAAGTTAATGGTTCTTTAACATGTCAAGAAGCTCCAAATATTTTATAGAACCGTAAGCTTCATTACTGTGTCCACAAATTGGTTCCTAACATGAGTCAGATGAAGCCAGTCCACACCCTCCCATCTTCATTTAAGCCTTCTTGTAACCTGTGGTCGGCAGAAATACATTTATTGATTTGGAGGTACAAAACCCTAATCCCCTTCAAAGTAGTCTCCTTGGTAATGCACACACTTCTCCCAGCGCTTTCGCCATTGTTGGAAACACTTCTGGAACGCGTCTTTTTTGGAATGGTGATCAGCTGGGCCATCACATTCCGCATGATGTCTTCTCTTGACTCAAATCGGGTTCCTTTCAGTGGCATTTTCAGCTTGGGAAATAGCCAGAAGTCACACAGAGCCATGTCGGGGGAGTAGGGAGCCTGACAAACCACAGGGATGTTGTGTTTGGCGACAAAAGTCTGAATCAAATGCGCAGAATGGGTGGGTGAGTTATCATGATGGGGCTGCCAAGTTTTTACTGCCCACAGATCCAGTTGTTTGTGCCACACAGCATCACGAAGACGACAAAGGACCTTCTGGTAGTATTCCTTTGTGATGGTTTGGCCTTGTGGTGCGTACTCATGATGCACAACCCCACGGGAGTTGAAGAAAATGGCCAACATTACCTTGACATTTCTGCGGACCTGCCGTGCTTTTTTTGGCCTCGGGGATGTCTGATGTTTCCACTGTGATGACTGCATCTTGGTTTCCAGGTTGTACCCATAAACCCACAACTCATCGCCTGTGATCACGGTGTTGAGAAAGTTGGGGTTACTGTTTGCATTGTCCAGCATGTCCTGTGCGATTTCCAGACAGCGTTGCTTCTGCTCCATGGTTAGCAGTTTCGGTACGAATTTCGCGGACACTCTCTTCATGCCCAAATCCTCGGTCAAAATTGAATGTACCAATCCAACGCTTACCCCTACCTCGTTCGCAAGTTCTTGGTCTGTGATACGACAGTCCTCCATGACCAAAGTCCGCACTTGCTCAATGACATTCTCATTTCGGCTTGTTGAGGGTCTGCCTGAATGCGGTTCGCTGTCCACTGATGTGCGGCCATCTTTGAAGCGGTTGTACCACTCCTTTATCCGTGAGTTGCTCATGGCATTGTCCCCAAAAGCCTGTTGAATCTTGCGAATGGTTTCCACTTGGGTATCGCCAAGCTTTTGGCAAAATTTGATGCAGTATCGCTGCTCATGTTGTTCCGTCATTTTACACCTTACTGGAATCTGACGAGCGCTCACTACACGTCCTCACTCATAGGCCGACTGCCAGTGACTAACGCTTTCTGCGGGCGGGAAAAAATTCACGACTGCGCATGAATGTCCCCTCCACATCTCCACCGAAGGGAGCCTCCCCCGCTTCATTGGTTTACTCAGGAAAAAAGAAGGTTCGATACTTTTTGAACACACCACGTATGCTTAGGTCTCCCTAGTGGTCTTTTTCATCCAGGTTTTCTTCCAAAACATTGTATGCATTTCTCCCTGGTATCCTTCCCATCTCATCCTCCTAGATTAGGTCATTCTAATAGCATTTGGCAAGGAGAACAAATTATAAAGCTACCAACTAACTAACTTCATGGAGCTGAACCCTTCTTGAGAAGCTGTCAATTGTGTAGCCACTCAAGAACTTCCCAGCAATTTATGGAACCCGGAGGTTCAGTACCATGTTCACAAGAGCCCTCCATTGGTCCCTATCCTGAGCCAGATCAATCCAGTCCATACCACCACATCCTATCTCTCTTAACACTTTGCTGACCGCGCACCCTTTAAAAGGTTTTCGCTTTTAAACATGTCGGACCATTCGCGTGTTAACAGGCTTTTAGAACACGATAAGTTGCAACACACTATACATTGCTCTGGCGCCACCTACATTGCATGCAACTGCCTGCAGATGCGCGATAAGACTCTGGAATGTTTAGTTAGCAGTCAGTAACTTGACCTCGCTGTTTACTTAACCGACTATAAAGGAAAATGCTTTGCCTTCTTCAAGCTGTGTGTATCAGCCAGTAGCTAGTGGGGAGAATGGATCAAGGACAAATTCTCCTCTGATGACCTAGCTGACCTGCCTTGTGAGAGGCGTAGTAATGGATTAATTGTCATTCAGACAGCAACAGTGATGGGAGACAACAAAGAATTGTGGCCACAGACAGTAAAAGTGACAGTAGCTCCGATGATAATGCGGGTAATAACATTGCGCTTAGTAACATTGTGGGGACAGCAAAAAATCTAAAAAAAAATCTAAACCCTGATTCAAAATTGAAATACAAAGCATTTCTGATGAATGTGGCAAAGGCCTGGGCTACAGTCCAGATGGTGGCAGCAGAACCAGGGTCACACAAAGACTTAGTACGACTGGGCCCATCAACTCCCACCCCACGAAGGCCTCATGTGGACCCCCCAGGGCNAGCATTGGTAAGTGTTCTCCAAAAATTTTAGTTCAAAAAATTAATTAGGAGATTTTATATTAATTTTTAAAGTGAACAGTACACAAGTTAGGGTAGTATGTTTAAAAATGCCAGTCCCCAGGGTGATTTAAATCACCGGTCCACGAAGTGTTAAGATCTGTTTTAATCTTATCCACCCACCTACATCGTGGTCTTCCTATTGGTCTCTTTCCTTCGGGCTTTCCTGTATGCATATTATGAAGCTACTCATGAGCAATTTTGTCAAACGTTCTCATTCTTCCTTCCCTTGATGTGAGAGAGCAAGTTTCACACAAATATACAACTACAGGTAACATTACAGTTTTGTATGATTTAAATGTTATGTTCTTAGATAGCAGCTGGAAAGGCAGCAGATTCTGAACTGAATGGTAGCAAAAACTTCCTGAATTTGGTTCTCTTTTAATTTCTTTATGAGTGAAATTCTGATTTTTTTATGTAATTCTCAGGTACCCTATTTGATCTTTGCCACATTTTCAGAATATTAGCTATCTTTATGCTGTGGTTTTGTCTGCCTTCTGGTTAGAAGTCATCAATGAATACTTAGTTTTCCCTACATTTACTTCTAGACCAAACTCCGTAAGAGGGTCTAAAAGGGCCTCTGTATTTTTCTTCATGGTATTCATGTTTCTGCCAACTAAAACTCATTAGCATTGACAAGAAGCAGATATATACCATTTGGTTTCATTCTTTTCTGGTCTTCTTGGACCTAATTGCATATTCTAGAGCAAAGTTGAAAAATAATGGCAGTAAAGCATGGCATTACTTCAAACCATTCTGAACAGGAAAAGGTAAAAAAGTAAAGCTGTCCTTGTAACAGGCCATGGACGCCCATAGGGTTGTGAGACGAGAGTCCAACATTATCTAGACAATCGGCTCACAGATGGCGGTAAGGTTGTCAGCCTTACATGCCAGCCACCCTTTACCCCCAAGGAAGATCCCTGGTACTCATTTCTGTTAGAGGCTGAGTCAACCCCAGGACCATGGTGCAGCTAGATTAGGTCAATTGAAAAATTAACCTCATTGGGACTTGAACCTGCGACCTTTGAGCTTGTAGCATAGTGCCTCAACCAGCTACACTACTGCGTACCCCCATTCTGAACAGGAAGCATATCAAAGTTTTTATTGGTATGGAATTTCGTGTAAACACATTTAATTAACCTGAGTAATTTTGTGGATGTACCAAACTCAGTGACAGCCTTGTAAAATACTTCATTCTGAGTCATGGGCATCTTGAAGTCATGTGCTGTCCCAGTGTTCTCCCATTTTTTCTCAAGTGTCTGATGTTTGTAGAAAATCTTATCAGTGGTTTATCTGTCATATCAGAATGCACACTAAGAATCCCTAATAATTTTGTCTAACATGTGGAGTTAACCTTGATAGAATAATGTATGAAGTTTATAACAGTGATGTACCTTGATAATTGCTTCAATCTGTTTTATAATCTTTCCCATAAATAGGCACAATAATAGATCCCTTCCATTGCTGAGGCAGTTCTTCCTTATTCCAAACAGAATTAGCAAGTTATGAATCTCAGATCATAGTGTTTCACCTCTTCCTTGCATCAAATATGAGAAACTGATGAATTAGCACTTAGTGGTTTGGACTCGTTTGTTGACAGTCCATCTGCCGGGAATTTTTTTTTATTGCTTGGTGGGGTGGGACTGAGTCCACTTGGTACTGCGGCCACTTCTTGCCTATTTTACAGCCCCAGATGATAGGTGAGGGTCATTGTGGAGCAATTTCTGGAATGAAGATTGGCAGGGGAAACCAAAGTACTCGGAGAAAACCTGCCCCAGCACTACTTTGTCCACCACAAATCCCACATGACCAGACCCGGGATCGAACCAGGGCCACCATGGTGGGAAGCCAGTGACTAACTGCTTGAGCTATGGCGTGGGCTTTTTTGTCTGCCAGTTATAGTCTTTAACATTATAGAAAGTGCCTTCTGCTGGTGGTTTATGCATATTTGTTAGAATGTTAATTCATATTATGACAAAAATGTATTCATCTCAATGTATGAAACATGTCACACTTCATCATGCTACTGTAAAATGCTGTATAAAAACTGTTGGCAAGAGTCTGTCAATAATCCTTCAGTGTGTTCCAGACCTCGTTTCTGATTTGTACTGTGGCATGTAGACCCGTTGCTAGGAAATAACCATGAAATAACAACTATACAAAAGCCGTTACTAGGTAGTGGCCCATGAACAAAGCACTAGTAAAGACAACACCACACGTTGAGGAAGAAAACACAAACCAGGAGAAAATAGATAGACTTGAAAGGATTCTGACGATGGTGTATACTGTACTTCTTCTCGCTTATTTTGTCTTTTACATACCAGACGATGGATGAAGTCCAAAATAAGCCAGAAGAAGTACAGGAGAAAATAACTAACGTGAGGAACAAGCTGCCAAGGAAAACATCTTATATTTTACGGAAATGATGACACCCTGAGTGAAGCAAAACAATAAGTAACAAATTATAAAAGAATTTTATCTCATTTTAATTAAAAAGAAGACTACAGCATAAATGCCAAACTTGGATGTGTAGGTAGGATTAGATATTGACATGGCTCACAAGCAGAGTGCAGACAGAGATGAAAGGAAGAAACTGCGAAAGAAAGTACTAATGTCAGCTTGGGGTTAAGGCATAGTATGGAGGCATGATAAAAATAAGTAGGAAGGAGAGCCCAGATGTTAGTAGGACAGACAAGGCATTGATTGTGACTACAGTCAAGAGCATGGAAAGGGATGAAGGAAAGCACTAGTATGGATGAGGTGGAATGAAGGCTAGAACAGACTAGATCTAGAACCTCATCATGAGAAAACCTATGAAGATGGCTTCCTGTATTCATTCAGAGGGTAGAAGAAAGGTTTCCATGACTTGCTTATGCAGAAGTCATTCTCCCTGTTCATATTCCTGGGATGGAGCCTAGTCTCAGTTGCCTCCATGATAGTATTTGGGTTTGATGTAGAGGATGTAATGTTCCAAGTTGATGTGTGCTGCCATGACTGACTTGTAGACAGATAGTGCTCCTTGACACTAGTGTCAGCTGAACATCCTGTCTGCCCTGCCTGATCACATAGGAAATGCTGTATACTCCTACTGTCTTCATTCCTGAGTTATCCTTGGCCCTCGGAAGGTAGGTGGAAGTTTTCCTCTGCAGGAGGCCAAGAAAGCTGATATAGCAAAATAGTGCTCTGCAGATGTGGCTGCAAGTCAGTCCAGCAGAGAAAGGATCCAGGATCTTGCTAAGCATCACTCAGGATTGAGAGCCCAACAAATCCACCATATACTATTGCCATTTTGTGTGAATCTGAACTTTGTCACCATGGTCAAGGAGCCTACCATAAAGCAGGGCCAGTAAAATGGTAATATGGCATCATTCAGCCTCAATAATCCAGGTGCTATTCACAGAAAAGATAACAGTGCCAATGTGTGCAAATAATACTATTATTTATGTTGTTGCAAACATGTTTTGATGACCGGCAATTAATAGTCACAATATGAATGAAAGAGCACCAGAAAGTTATTTTCATTTAACAAGCAGGAAAATAGGAGTGAAGTTCCAAAATGTGCCACCCTTGGTCGGGCTGCTTGGTTGGTCTGTATTGTTGCAAACACATGTGTTCCATTTGACATCCCCCCCCTCCAAACATTGTTTTATTGGTCCTTCGTAGTGGCATATTCTGAAGCAAACTTGAAATGTAATGATCATAAAGCATAGTCTCATTTCAGACCATTCCAAATATTATACCAACTTTACCTATTGTTAAACAGTTCCATCCAGTGTGACTAATAAAGATGTTTCTAATTTCAATCCTTTATCTATATGAACTTTACTATCAATTTTACTTAAAGAATATACAGAACTATAATTTTGCCTGTGGTTCTGTATGGATGTAAACATTGTCGCCAACGGTAAGGGAGGAAAATAGACTGAGGGTGTCTGAGGACAGCGTTAAGGAGAACGTTTGGACCAAAGAGAGAAAACTGCGTAATGAGTAGCTTCATAACTTGTACTCTTCTGCAAATATAATCAGAATGATCAAGTGAAGGAAGATGAGATGGGCAGGGCATTTAGCATGAATGGAGGCGAAGATGAATACATATAGGATATTGGTGGGAAAGGCAGATGGAAAGAGACCGCTGGGAAGACCAAGACGTAGGAGGGTGGACAATATTAAAATGGATCTTAGAGAGAGATAGGATGGGATGGTATGGAATGGATTGATCTGGCTCAGGATAGGGACCGCTGGAGTGCTCTTGTGAACACGGTTATGAACTTTCAGGTTTCATAAAATGCTTGGAAGTTCTTGAATAGCTGCACAATTGGCAGCCTCTCAAGAAGGGCACAGGTCCATGAGTGAGTGAGTGATATTTTAATCAGCTAAAATGAAATTTGGAGTTACGGTCACTTTAATCCGATTATTGTAAACAGGTTATGTGAAAACTAAATTAGTTCCGATATTCCACCGCTTGATGACGCTTGTGATTGGTTCCTGAAGGAACAAACGTTGACGTAAATGTGACGTAATGCTTTCAAGCGAATACAAAATAATCGATGTTGTCGAGGCGACATTGCAAACAGGTGATGCTTTCGTGCGGAGTATGGAGGAATCGTACTGATTATACATTTTAGTTTGTAAATTTTCTAGGCATTGTCACGACTATGAAATGAAGATATTTAAATTTCTGACTCTCAGATAAATATATTTGTATAATCGGAATTAACTTATTTTACTCTTTGTGTGTGAAGTCAATTTTTGTGCAAAATGTCTGCTGTTCGAAAAAGACGTCTGGACACAGCTGACGATTCTGAGAAGGCTCGAGAGACTGAAAGTGATCAGGTAAGTCTATGTTAATTTGTGATTATGAAGTGTTTTTCATTAGTTTCTGCTGTAATGAAATTCTGAAAGCTACTGACTAGCCACATTAGAAGCTGTCTCATCTGCACTTGTGATCGTGTAATTGGGTTTATGTGCGTAAAATTATTAGTTAGAGCCAGAATTTTTGTACGAATCTTACATTGTTTTTACCCGACTTTCCTTATTTTCATAAAATGAAAGTAGGCTTAGGAGATCCCCCTGCTGTCTCTGTATCCCCCCCCCCCACTGTACAATTAATATTTGAATGTCTGAACCAATCTTTACAAAACTTCGTATGCATATCATGGCGCCTGAGCCCATCTCAGTCTGTACTTCATAAATCCCTCTCCTCAGTCTGTGTGTCTGTATGTGTATCCCTGTATCATTGTTAGGCAGTTGGAGGTGTCGTTTTCTCTGCCTTCTGCATCATATCAAAGTAAAGTGGGAGATTAGTTCTTCCCAGAACTTCTTGTTTATGCCAGGGTATCGTATTATTACACTGGAATTAAAACCTTTCTTAACTGGTTGTGATTTTTTGTTATACAGTTAGTGTTTTTATGTGTGGCAGTATTTAAACTGAATTTGAAGACTTTATGTCGGCCACGTCACCGCTGGTGGGGGGAGGGGTGTCCTGCATAGCGCAACACGTCACAGTATTATCTTTTTGGGGTAATGCCCCTCATAATGAGAGTGTCTTAAAAATTCAAAAAAGAATAATAAGAGTTATATCTGGTTCGGGTAGACTGGATTCATGCCGCAGATTGTTTAAAAAATTACAAATATTGCCACTTCAGTCTCAGTACATTTTCTCTTTACATCTTTTTGTCGTTAAGAACAGAAATTATTTTATAGCTAGTACTGATATTCATGATATCAACGCACGTTATAATCACAATTTATATTTACCTTCTACAAATCTGTCAATAGTTCATTCTTTCATTCATTTCCTTTATTTTCCATATATCCATACAGGTAAAAAACCTAGGATGTGGAAATAGTCCCTTTGATAATAGATGTGTCCAGATACATATAATAAATTACATAAGTTACATAATTAAAATCACATACATTAGTCAATTAACATAGATAATAGAATAAAACCCTATTACAATAATAATTAATAAACATAATTTAAAAAGAACATTACTATAAAAACTTAAAATTAATACAATTTCACTCAAATTACCCAAATTAACTGAATTAAATGCATTACAAATTTACACACTTATGACCACCTATCTTTCCTTCCTTCTTTCTTTCTTTCTTTATTTCATTTTCCCATAAATCAAAATACATTGATACAGGACTTGTCATATACATACATACATATCCTCCACTTTCCATAAACATCCATACAGGCAACAGACCCAGGATGTGGAAATAGTCACCAAACACATACACAAAGTCACACAAGCCACACAACGAAGATCACCCACATTAACTATCTAACACATACAACAATACGAGGCAAAAAGATAATATCCTGATTAACAGACATAATTCACAAATAACCACAATACAACCCAAACCAATACAACCCCTCACATCTCCCATACCAACTATATAAAAATATGGCGTTAAAACATTCAAATTTATATACATTTTTGATTAAAATACTCATTTAATGCATAAAAATAGTTAGCATGTAAAAATCTTTTTAGGGAACGTTCAAAAGATTTCTGGTTATTAGATAATTGTTTGAGCGCTTTAGGCAAATGATTGTAGATTTTTATATCTGAATAATATGCACCCTTTTGAAATTTAGTAAGAGAAGTACTTGGTGCAAATAGGTTAATATTCTGTCTGGTACCAGTATTATGTACCTTCATATTTCTTGTAAACAAATGTATGTTATTTATAGTGTGTTGTATCAAGGAATATATGTATTGAGAACACAAAGGCAGAATTTTCATTTCCTTGAAAGAGTCTCTACATGAATCTCTTTTCTTTAATCCCATCATAATCCTTATAACTTTCTTTTGGATCATAAAAAGATTTGTCATGTATGAAGAATTGCCCCAGAAGATAATTCCATGTCTCATCACAGAATGTATATAAGCAAAATAAATCATTCTTAAGCTACTTAATGATATCATAGGCTTAACTGTTCTCATAATAAAGCAAGATGAACTCAATTTAGTAACAAGGTAATCAATATGATTCTTCCAACACAGCCTATTATCAATATTTAGGCCTAAAAATTTGATACACTCTAAGTTAGTCGGTAAATTTTGATCAATATTATTATGCATATTATGATCCTCATAGTTCATTAAAGTGAACTGGAGAGTGTGGGTTTTATGAATATTTAATTTTAACGGATTGGTTCTGAACCATGTATTAATATTGCAAAATATTCTGGTCATGGTTGATTTGTAGTCAGCGTATTCCGGATTAGTCACTTTTATACTTGTATCGTCTGCATATAAGAATTTGTTTGTTCCATTAATTGAAACCTTAGTTATATCACTTATATACAAGAGGAAAATAAGTGGGCCAAGAATTGAACCTTGGGGTACACCAAATTTTACTTCTGCCCAACTAGACGAGCTATTAATACAACTGTTGGGGCCAAGGGTTACTCTTTGATATCTTCCATTCAGGTAAGATTTAATTGAAGGCACCAAACTTACCAGTTATTCCATAAAACCCTAATTTTTTGATGAGTATATCATGATTGGCACAATCAGAGGCTCAATGAACACACTGTCTTGATTGTCTCTCCTACGGATAATATAATTACACTAATTTATAGTGGTTCTTAGTGTTTTCATTTGTCCTTGTACGGTTTATGAATGTATATTTTATTATCTTATGTTCAAACATGGTTGTGAATACGTATATATTTTATTATTTTATGTTTAAACATGACAGATTCTCTATCCAGTAGGTTGATTTGACCTCATATGGATTGACAGAATGCAATAAATAAAGTAAAGTAGAGTAAAGAAGACTTATTAGGTAACAGAAACATGCTAGGAAATAATTTTTATATCTTGAAGTTATACAAAGTGTCACTACTAAGTGGTTAGCACTCTGTCCTATACTGGAGGTACAGGGCACAATTGAGCCCAGGAACCGACTATCCACCTAGGTTTGACATGGTTCTCTTCAGCCCTTACAGTCATCCCATAATAATACCCCAAATAAGTAATGACTGCTTCGACATCCTATCTGATTCATAATTCGTTAATGATTCTATCATCTGATGCTTTATAGACTGAGTTATTGACAGTGCCATAAAATAAACCACAAAGAAACAAGCATTCCCAAAGTTATGATTGCTTAAGGTTAAAATGGTTATTTGGGCTATCATTTCAATTCATATCTGTAAGAGATAACTTCCTTCTGAAATATTAAGGACTGTCAGACTGTTACTTGTTTTTGTGAATTGCTGTAAGTATTTAGCAGTATTTATTTATTTAAATCATATCCATGGATATGTACATGTATATGTACATACAGTAGAACTTGGTTATAACGTCATCAAAGGGACCTAAAAATAGTGTCGTTATAAACGAATGTCATTGTAACCGAATGGGTACTTCCACAGTAGCCTTATGTTAGTCACGTAAAAATCTACCAAAAACCGAGTTAAAATGTTGCATTTTTAGTGAAATACGTAGTTAAGTACAGACTAACGTAACATTAACGTGGAATTGCCCAAATGTGTAATATCAAAGACATATTACAGCGCTTTTCACTGACAATGCACACCGCACTAATACTGTATATTAAAGGTAGGCCT